GGTAATGTGTGGATTAAGGGCTGGGGGGTAAAAAACGTCATGGCTACCCAGGTGAAACTACTTCCAAATGGCCACACTTTAGAATCACTTGGGGGAGAGTTCTGGTTATCTACTGCTGTGTAACAAACTACAAAAAATAGCTGAAAACAGCCATTTATTAGATCTCACAATTCTGAGAGACAGAAATGTACGTAAGACTTACCCAGGTGATTCTTCTGCTCCGTGTGGTGCCAACTGAGCTCACTTGGTGGTATTTAGCTGGCAGCTGGCCTGGTCTGGAGAATCCCAAGATGGCTTCATTCGCATGCTTGGTGCTTTTTTAGCAAGGAACGGGAGTCTGGGCTGACCTGGTTTCCCTCACTTCATGCAGTCTCAGAGAATATCTACATAATCTTTGTATACAGCAGGCTTCTTACATGGTAGCGCGGGGCTCAAGAAACTGATAGAGGCCGGGCACTGTGGCTCACGCTTGTAATCCTAGCACCTTGGGAGGCCAAGGCGGGAGGATCATTTGAGTCCAGGAGTTCAAGACCAGTCTGAGCAAGAGTGAGACCCACGTCTCTACAAAAATAGAAAAATTAGCTGGGCATGGTGGTGTGCACCTGTAGTCCCAGCTACTCGGGAGGCTGAGGCAGGAGGATTGCTTGAGCCTAGAAGTTGAAGGTTGCAGTGAGCTATGATGACACCACTGCACTCTAGCCAGGGCAAAGGAGCAAGACTCTGTCTCAAAAAAAAAAAAGAGAGAGAGAAAGAAAAGAAAAGAAATTGATAGAAACAACCATTTCTTTTAAATACTAGGCTCACATTGGCCCAGTGTTGTTCTGCCATCCTTTGTTGGTAAAAGCAGTCAGGAGACTCAGACCCATGGGGAGGGGAAATGAATCCTACTTTTTAGTGGGAGAGGTATCAAAGGATTTGTGGCCATCTTTAATCTGCAGCCCATCCACTAGCCACTAATTATTTATATTCCTCCCACATGCAAAATACACGCACCCTCTCCCCCACCCCCAAAAGCCTCATCTCATTACAGCAACAGGCTTGGACTGGAGATCTAGGATCACATTTTTAAATCAGGCCCTGGTGCAGATGAAGTTAATCAGGGTTGATTCTTCCAGTACAGTTCTGCTCAGTCTGAAGACTTGGAAGCTGGGGCCCTGTGTTGTCTGCCCATATACCCAACATATGATGATCACACTGAGATAAATAATTGCAGTAGACTCTCAAGTTCAAAAGGGAAGAGGGGGACAACAGGAGTCATAGAGAAGTCACTTGTCCATAGTAATTCTAAAACACACTTGGGCACATGTCACCAATTCTTTGATAAGGGTCCTGATTTAATTGGGTTGGGTGGAGCCTGGGCATGGAAGGGAGGGAGGGAGGGAGGGAGGAAGAAAATACTTAAAAAGTTTGAGTGTATTTAAAGTGTGTTCACTTTTGATCTTTTTTAAAAATGTACATTTCTTCCCTCAGCCCAGACCTACTAAACACGAACCCCTTATAACAAATCCCACTTTCCCAAATGATTGCTATGCCACTAAAAGTTCAGATCCACTGGATTTACTTCTTTGTAAAATCCAAGCACATTTTGCGAATTTTTGAAGAATGTGTAGTATTGCACATCCAGTGGTATGCTGGTAAATGTTTAACCAGCTCTTAGGGGAAGAAAAAAGTTTGATTTATAGTGGCTGCCAATTTCTATGGGTAGATACTCCCACCATGGCTGATTTCAAGCTCAGCATAACATCAAAAAACTTGCAAAATTCCTGAAAATATATAATCAGCTCTCATGAGACAGCACAAGCTAACTAGCACACCACTCTACGCTAGTTTATGCTCACATCTCACATGAAGTGAAAAAAATAACAATAAAAACACAAGGACAGGAGCTTTAAAGTAAGACTATCTTGAGTAAAAATTCTAATTCTGCAACTTACAGCCAATGTGTGATCCTCAATATCTTAGGTTTCTTTTCTAAAAAACCTCAGTTTTTGCATACATAAAATGGGGACAATAATCATAGTACCACTTTGTGGGGTTAAGCTTTCCCCTTTCCTTTCAATTACCTATTTCCAAAGTGCTATGTACTTTCCCCGCCATATGACTCTTCATCCTTTTGTAATTTAATTGTCTGCCTTCCTCACATGCCTGTGAAGCCAAATCATTTCTTTCTCTTTTGGACCCATTTCCCCAGTGATCAGCAAAGCCTCTAGCATACAGTAAGTGCACAATAACTACATGCTGACCAAATAAAGTGCACGTGCCCCACTCTCTCCCCCTGCACCTGTGACAGAAAATAGTGAACAGATCAGGACACTTGGATACAAGATGATGAATAATTTGAGGAAAAGGCACTCTAGGAGGAAAAGGCACTGGCACTCTAACTAGCCAGTGGGAGAAAACAATTTTCTACCTTGCTGTAAGTTCTGCTAATGAAAGGTCCTGAGCCTCAAGGGAAAAAATAAAACTTCCATGATGGAAGTGCACAGGGTGACATGAAAGAGGACAGACCTGCTCGGAGAGGGCGGTCTGGCATAGGTTGTCACTGCAGGTGACATTATGCTGAGTGGGGAAGGATGAGGAGGCTACAACCGTGCATAGAATGTGGCTGGGGGGTTGGGGAAGGGGTGATGCCTTCTAGGAAGAGGAAGCCAAGCGGCAAAGGCCCTGAGACCTGAACAAAGGGCGATAGGACCGTGGGAGTCAGAGGAGAGAAGGTGGGTTTGGGACATACTCTAGATGAAGGGCCAGTGGATGCCCAGAAGAAGATATCAAGTCAGTTGCTGGAACCTGGAAGTGCAGGACTTGAGCTCAGAAGAGAGGGTCACCAGCACAGAGGTGGTGGGGAAGCCGTGCATTTGGCAGGGATCGCCAAGGAGAGGGATGGAAGCTGGACACATAGACATAGAAACTGGGCAAAAACAGAATCCTGGGGTGTGCAGGAGAATAGCTGAGAAGGGAGGTTCAGTGGGAGATTTCGGGGGCTAGGATAATCAGAGAAGGAGCCTAGACCAAGGCGGGGATGAGATCCTGTAGCAGCACCCAGCTCAGCCAAAGCCACGTCCAGCGCACGACAGCCTGGGCAGCACAGCTTGCGCAGCTGGGGCGGAGCACGGAGCCTCCGGGAAACAGGAGGAGAAAGGGCCGGGGACAAATGCTGCCCGGGCTGAAGTGGATACAGATGGCCCTGCTGCTACAGGACTATGAACTCGAATTCCCTATCTCAGCTCTTGGTATGAAAGACCAAGTCAAAACGCAGGATGTGTTCACAGAAACTGCTGACCTTTTGTCCTCCCATGAGTGAGTAGAAAAGGGACAGGGAAGGGAGTCGTTCTGGAGAAATCTACAAGTAAATTCATGGCTCAGAAAGGCTAGGTGTGTGATGACAGCTGCTTTTCCTCATAGTTTTCTTTCTCCTCTTTGGAGACACTTTCTTTTCCCATAAGCTTTGTTGGTTGTTGCTAACGAGCAACACAACACATGCGAACTTTTACATTTTCAAGAATGAAAGACAGAAATTCCTCTTTGGAATGCTGCTTTAGACAACAACAAAGCCGTGGGGAGGAGTTTAGCTGCGTGATGCTGTGGGACTCCCTGAAGAGAGCCATGCTCCAAAAGCTGCGTGTCCTTGGAAGAGAGGCCATTTTCTGGAATGTATTTGCGTAGCCACAGGAGGCTGGCAAAACTGGTGGCCTTTGCCTTGCAGCTGAAGCGTCCCAACCACCAGCCTGTCATTTCCATAGTTCCTGGAGCTTTAAAAGGTTCTCTCTGCCCTTACAATGCAGATCAAGGATGTGGATTTAAATGATTGGTTTTGCCAAGCTTTCCATTTTTCACTCATGCTTTTTAGAGAAACTCAAGAAAACAACTTTGCTAAATGCTGGTGTGCCTGTATCTGCATGTGGACTTAGGAAGTTAATCTCAGTACAGATTCTGTCATCCAACGAAGCAAAAATGTCCTATTTCCATATTTCTGCTGAAATCTAATCAGTGGCCTTCACCTTCCACTTACCATTTCACTATTGCTCTCTCATATCCCAGAGGATGAGAAAGAGAATGCAATGACCTTTGCCTCCAACCCCTCCAGGGGTAGGGAACCTGTGGCCTCGGGGCCACATCTGGCTTTCTGGATGCTTGAGTGTGGCCTTTTGATGGAATCCAAATTTTACAGAACAAATCCTTTTAGTAAAGGGATTTGCTCCATGAAGTTTGGATTTGAAGTTTGGAGGCCCCAGTTTCCCCACCTAAACTACTGTAATATATGTAATGCTCAAATATAATACTCTTTCATTCACACGTTATTCCATATATACAAGCTCTTTAACTAGGTTGTAAGCATTTTGTATTCAAGGATTATACATTTTACTTTTTCAATTTTCTATATCAAGCCCCAGGAGAGTGCTAGATACACATCCACATACAGTAACAGCTCAGCTGTGCAGATGTTAGTAACCTTATTACTGAACTCCTAGGAAGTGGCTGGTAAGAATGAAAGGGGAGGATGAAGAGTCACATACACAGGGGAAACTGGGGAGGTGGGCACCCCACTGCTGACAGAGAAGAAAAGGGGGTATGCTCAAGTCATGCTCTGGTTCAGCGAGACGGTAGGGGTGAGGCACAGACCTTCAAAACAGTCCTGGGACACAGTATGGGGAGAGTCTATCTAGAAGAGTATGGAACAGGGGGAGGGTTAGCCACCAGGAAGGGTGTCCATTACAGAGTGAGGAGGAGAAGATGGAAAGTTGCTTTAAAGTGAAGAGAGAGAGGTGAGCTGGCTCAGGCTCTCGGTCTCTGTGCCAGGGCGAATGCTGCTGGTCCTAGCAACACCACCATCCAAAAGGCACCGAGACTCAAAGTCCACATGTAAGAGGAGCTACACCAGAGGTGAGAAGCAGCCCCCTCCATGGCAGGGGGACACTACAGGCCCAGAGCTGCTGTGCATGGCTCCTTCACACAGGGACAGGCGTATGCCCCCAGGTAAGGACATAGGCAGGCTCTGCAGATTGGAGGCTTGTGAGGATGTGGGGGAGGAGACAGCTAGAAAGGACCAGTTTATCTTGATCTTATAAAGTGACCGTATCCTGAGACTTATATACTGAATCCGACAGAATAAGCCCAACAACTCCAGATTCTCAGTGGCCCAGCACAACGAAGGCTGCTAGCTCACTCACACTGCAGGTCCAAGGCAGGTTGGCAGAGGGAGCCAGGCCAGCGACAGCTTCCATGTCCACATGGTGGTGGGAAGGGAACCATAGCAACTGTGTGCTGGTTCTAGAAGCTTCCTCCTGAAAGTGTTACACATCGCTCCTGCTCATGTCTCATTGGCCAAGGCAAATCATGTAGCCGCCACACCTCACTTCAAAGGGCAGTGAAGTACGATCCTACCACGTTTCTGATGGAAATACCTGTGAACAGCACTAACGACTTCCACCTGTCCCAGGGGAATGGCCAGCTTACCCAGAGTATGTTGGCCCACCTATTCACAATAGCAGAGTCTTTTCTCCAGAAATGCAAAACAATTGAAAACCGATTTGCCTGCCTGATTTCACGTCATCACTGCAATATTGCCCAAATAAGAAATGAAAAGATTTAGATAAAAAACGTTTTTTAAAATCTTACTAATCGATTTCATTGCAGTAAATGGTTAAATGGTAAATTCTCCTTGGATAATTCTCCGCAGGCTACTTTGAGTGGTTTCCTCCCTCTTGTCCTGATTTACTTCACCTTGTTAATTTCCTTTATATAATTAATCATTATTTGTAATCACACATTTGAGTTATGATCAATGATTACAAATGATTCATTTAATTGTAACCAATCATGTACTTGTTTATTAAGGAATTGTCTATAGATTATAGCAGTTTAATTTTTGTCCTAACTATAGCACAGAACATTTAAAATATATAAATATCATTCCCTAAATACCATTTGCCATCCTTGGTCTATGACATAGTGAGTGCTCAATAAATCATTGCAGTTGCTGCTGCCACTACTGACGATAATGATAAGTAGGAAAAGTGGTTTTTAAAGGCCATTCCGTGAAATAACAAACAGAACTATGTATGTCATAGACCCTAAATTAGTTCAGTAACAATTTCGGCTCAATGATGATAATGTATACTTTAAATGGGTGACCTATATTATGATATGTGAATTATCACTCAATAAAGTTGCTTAAAATTTTTTTATAAACAAAAGAAAGAAAAAGGGAAGAGAGCCTCAGGGACCCCTGAACACTCCTGAGTTTGGAGGGGCAGGGGCTGGGGGTGAGAGACAGCCATCAGACGGACGAGGCCAGTTCCCTTGAGGCCTCTCCTGTTGCATGTCAGTGGCATTATCAGAAGTGTTACACAGGTCTGGGCCAAGTGTCTCCAGAGCAAAGAGAAACCCTGCAGGTCTGGACTGCCTCCTCCTCGCTGCGGGAGCCTTCCTGATGTGTCCACAAATGATTTTTGGCCTCAGTGCGGCAGCTTTACCAAACACAGGGCAGAAACTGCCTGGAAATAGGCCCTGCAGGAGTTGACCATGTGCCTCGTCTTTGGCCACTCTCTCTAGGTTGCTTGAGCATAACTCAGACGTGTCATCTCCATTTACAGTGCTCGATTTTAAAATCACAGAGGAGGTTCGTACAGCATCCAGGCTCTTACAGTTCTTTGGCTATACAATTCTCTCAAAACCCTAATAGCTTCTAATTGATTTGCTTCCAGGAAGTTCTTGTGTCCAGAACCACACCCAAATTTCTTTCCTAGACATAATTCTTGAGCCTAATTTATTTTTTTCTCACTCAACTCCTTTCCACTATTTCTCAACTTAATGGTGGAGATTTAGGGAAGCTTGGGAGGGAAGACCGTACCCTAAATGAGCTCTTTGCCTTGGGAATGACTGTCAAAGGGCTTTAACTCCTCAAAATGTGTTTTCAACCTAAATTCCTGCTGCTTGAACTCCAGAGGCGGTCAGCTTTTCCTACTTCTCAAGCCCTAAATTCCTGGATTTTCTGTTTTCTTTCATTTCTGCTTTTGAGCCAGGCAGTTCTTGCTCAATCTCTCTCTCTTAAAATCTTGCAAAATGTAGTCACAGTCAGCAAACACACAGCACAGTGTCCCTCAGTATCTGCAGGGGATTGGTTCCAGGACTCAACCCCCATAGCAAAAGCTGCAGATGCTCTAGTCCTTGATATAAAATGGTGTAGTATTTTTATATAACCTATGCTCATCCTCCTGTACACTTTAAATCATCTTTTGAGTGCTTATAATACCTAATGCAATGTCAATGCTATGTAAAAGTTGTTTTACTGCATTGTTTAGGGAATAATGACAGGAAAAAAAGTCTGTACATGTTCAGTATAGATGCTACCATGTATTTTTTTCCCCCCAAATATTTTTGACCTGTGGTTGGTTGAATCCATGGATGCAGAACCTATAGATATGGAGGGCCAACTGTATTAACATTGTTTTCTTCAATCTCTTTCTTTAGAACTATGAGCTCAGTAGACATTTTATTCACCTTACAAGTTATCACTGACATTTTCCAAAATGTTGGCCATTGCCAATCATGGGTCCCCATTCCCCTAGCCCTCAATATCAGTTTCTTGCTGTCTGCTCTACAAATATTAGTTTTTTGTTATTGTAGCACCCCACTTTCTTTACCATTCCTTGCAGTTCACACTAGCTTTTGTGACATTAGTAGCTGAGTGACTTTACATAATAGAAGTTTATTTCTCTCTCACACATGGTCCAATTAGCAGCGGAAGGGCTCTGCTCCATGCGGTTATTCAGGGACTCTGACTGATAGAGGCTCTGCCATTATACCTTGGATTTACAAAGTCACCTTGGGCACTGGCATGCAGACCAGAAAGAGCAAAGGGATCAAGCCTAGGAAGTAAATGTGCTTCCCTTTCACTGGATTCAATTAGCCAGACCCCAGTCACATGGCCACACCTAACGACAGGGGAAGGTAGCCCCATGGCCACACCTAATGACAGGGGGAAGGAAGCCCCATGGCCACACCTAACGACAGGGGAAGGAAGCCCCATGGCCACACCTAACGACAGGGGAAGGAAGCCCCATGCCCACACCTAACGACAGGGGAAGGAAGTCTGTGACCACACTTAACAACAAAGGAAACTGTGGACCCCTGTGATTTTCCTTGAAAGAAAACAAAATGGGCTTGGGGATGGCTAGACAGTGTTTGAACTCATTCTACTAATGGGACTCTAATAGAGACTTTCAGATAGGTCCAAACAAAAATATGAACAAAATCTCTATACTTTCACCAAGACACATTGACCAAAAAATGTGATGCTGAACTGTTAAAAATACCAAGATGACCAAAGATATATTAAAGCACACACACACACACACACACACACACACACACACACACACAAAGAAAGCAAGGTAGCCATATTAGCATCAGAAAAAAAGGTATCAAGGCAATTGATAATAAACAGAAAAAACATGGAAATAAATTACATCAAACTATATAAAGTGATAATTGGAAGCACAAGAAAAAAAGATGGGTAGAGGCAGTATAGTAGTGAAGAGTTTAACAGACTACTTTTTAGATCCTGACAGATTAGGAAGCCAAAATGAGATAGAGAGTATTTCAATTATATATTTAATAAAGTTAATTTAAAATATTGTCCCTTCAAATTGAGAATGCAGCAGTTACAGCCACAAAGAAAACTTTATATTCCAAAAAGTACAAACTGTACAGGTCACACTTCCTAATCATATTGCAATGAAATTAGAAACAAAAAATGTATTAAACAAAAAATTTCCACACACACACACACACACACACACACACACACACACACACACACACACCAACTATAAACCTAAAGCCAAAAATCCACTCTCTTAACTAACTCTTGGTTCTAAACAAAGCAATTGTGCTATTTATTAATATATTCTTTAGGCTTCAGAGGACAGAGGCTTATTCAAACTACCAAACCATGGGTGGGTGAATTGGTGGATGTAAGGGTACGTGGAATGTTAGGAAGTTGGAATCTAGCAGAGATCTAACAATAAGAGCCATGGTAGAAGTGGGCCACCCACAATGTAAGTGGCAGGTGACCCAAGGGAGAGCCCGGGGGCCTGAGAGTGAGAGTGTGGATTTGCTCTAGTGCTCACCCTGAACTGACTCAGCTCCCTTCCACGGACCGCTTCTTCCTGCACCCCTCCAACTGTCTTCTTCCTTCTCCATATCTGGTTGTTAATTCCCTGTTTCTGCTTTTTTGTGAATGTACCCTAAATCTGGTCCTTTATGTGCTCTCCAGGCTTGCACTGGGAGATGACTTTTCAGTTCTGCCCCTGCTGCTAACTGCCCCTTCCTCTGGGTATTTCTGAAATCAAATTCTTTAGACACAGAATCTGCTTAGCTAGCTCAGCCTTTGCTTATGAGACCACATGTCAGGTCACCGGCAGCCTTTGGGCTGGCTGCTTGGGGCCTCCGCTTACCCCTCATCCAATAGGCAATGACTGAGGACAGGAGGGAACACATGATATAAAACATGAATGTTGAGCACCTCCCATTTCTGCAAAGAGAGGGGATGACTACCGGGGGGAGTTACAGGCATGGCAAGATGGGTGAAAAATATTTGAATGAACAAATGAAGAACCTGCTAGTATCAATCAGGTGTTCTGCTAGATGCCAAGCACACTGTGAATGATACCAACAAAATGCTATTCAGTTTTCTAAAATTCACATTAACATATAAAGATCTACAAAATAATGGGTTTTTTCTTTTTTTATTAATTATCTTTATATTTTTTCTTTACTCTTTTTTGTCATGCATCAATATATCAACACAATACAATATAATGTTAGTAAAAATTAGGTTACAAAAGAGCATGTATAAAATATTGTTTTTGAAAAATAAAAAAATGTACCTATGCATAAGAAGAAAGCCTAACAAGACACATAATATATTAACATGTTTGCCCATGGTTTTCTCTGGGTGGTAGGTTTAGGATAATTTTAATTTCTTCTTAAATCTTTCTCAAGTATCTTCACGGATTTAACCTTGAACATATGCTTTTTTTTGTAATCAGAAAAATAAAACTATTTCTATTAAGGGACAGGGAAGCTTATAATATGCACACCTTTCAACCTAGGAAATGCATTTCAAAGAACTTCTCCTAAGAGAATAATTGAAGTTATGCTCAAATGTACTTTTATAAGAAAGTTTAAAGGTTTTTTTTTTTCCTTTCTAGAAGCAGCAGCTATTTAACCTTTTTGAGGATCCATGGTTTCTCTATAAATATGACTGAAAAACAAGCCTTCTACACAGTGTTTTGAACAATCTGAAGAAAATTCAGTAAAACAAGTTAACCTCTGGCTTTGAGACTACTCATCTATAGAGAAAAGTGAGAATGGGAAGTAATACCCCACTGCAGTGGCCAGGGACATGGAATCAATCAGTTGAACATTGGATTCTTTACAGAAAAAAAAAGCCCTTTTGTTAAATGCCAATATTGAGAAGGCTTTTTCTTCCAGATACCAAGTATTCTTAAGCTTTTTTGTTATTAAGATTTGTTTCAGAAAAGGATCCAAAACTAATTTGTACAAAAGCATAAAAGACAGATAGCAACTTAACAAAGCAGTTCTCCATAGGAACACTTAATAAGCATTCTTCCACTCTCCATCCCGAGATTTGTATTCAGGAAGTTTGAGATATGACCCATGATCAGCATTTTAACAAGCATGCTAGTTGATTTTGACAGAGGTGATCTAAAGATGGCACTGTGAGAAATAATAGTGCCCTAACCACACTCTCTCTCGAGCATTTTAACAAGGACTAAAATCTCAAATTAAAGGAGCTAAGTTTATATCCATTTCTCATAATATAGTGGTCTAGAGACCCTGATCAATTCTACTGCTGGACCAACTAAAAATCCTGAATAAAATGTCTTCTAGCATCTTTTTAGACTTGTTGATGAGCTGCCCCAAAAGCATGACATTGTCTGAGACCAAAAAACCTAAAGCCCGAAGGGTACAAAGAACATATAGGTTGGCTTTTGCTCTGAAAGCTTTGCCAAACCTGGGTATGATAAAGTTGAAATTGAACATCAGCTTTCATACTGCTAAGGGTTCCGGGAGGAAGAAGCAGTGACCTGCACACAGAGAGTAGGAAGGCTAATGAGAGACCTCCATAAAAACTTACAAGGGCTACATGCTCAATAAAGGGGTGGGTTAGAAATGAACCTGCCCCTGTCTCTGTGAAATGTGAGGAAAATGGCCTCTCTCACACTGTAGGGAAGGTGGGAGGGAGAAAAATTCTCCCCTGAGCATTCTTAACCACAAGCCTGATTTTATGTGGTTCCCTCCTACCTAGATTATACAAAAGTCCTTAAGGTGAATATTTAGTTTAAAGTGTTTAGGTGTTGGTAGTAGCCCAGGAACCTGGCAGAAGCAAGCAAAATCCTCTCTGATAGAAACCAATTGTGATGAAGTTTTCAAAATATGTGAGCTCAGATTAAGAACCTCCAGAATGCCAGAAAACAAGCTTCCATTAAAGAAAGCCAGGAAATAAAGGACTGAAAAATCAGACCTGTAATTTTTAGATATTGAAATTATTGGACACAACAGAAAATATTTTGTATGTTTAAAAAACAAAAGATAACTTCGAAGATATGAACAGGAGACTCTAAAACAATTACAGGGAAGAGGCTAGAAAGGCATTCCAATATGAGTAAAGGATTAGAGACTACAAAAATGACCAAGCTTATCTGAAAACAGCTGATTTGACAGAGATGAAAAGAAAATTAGTAAACTGGAAGAGAAATCTGAAGAAATTATCCACAATACAACAAAGAGAAACTAATACATAGAAACTTCAAAAGAGAAGTTGACAATTACATAAAATAGACAGAGACACTGCTGACATAAGTTCAAGCAATGTTCCTTAAGGTCAGGAATGAGTTGAGAGAAAATGAGGAGAAAATAATATTAAAGAAATAATAGTTGAGAATTTTCCAGTGCTAATAAGAGGCAGCAATGTGAAGTCTTAAGATGCCAAAATAAATCCCAATTAAAATAAGTTTTTAAAAGATCCACAAGTGGAGACATCTTAGTCAAACTCCAGAACACCAAAGATAAAAAGAAGATATTAAAAGCAGCCGCAGTTTTCTGCTTAAAAGGACAACACAGGAATACTACAAATTTTATGCCCATAAATTGCATAACTTAGATAAAATAGAAAAATTCATTGGAATGCACAAACTGCCAAAGCACACATAAAGCATTTATGATAATTGGCCCAAATTAAATGGATCATAAAGCATATCTCATGTTCTCTGATAACAAGGCAATCAACTTAGAAATCAACAATAAAATTGTAAGTAGTAGACATCCACATGTTTGGAAATTAAGAAACATACTTCTAAATTATTCAGGGGTCAAAGAAGAAATCAAAATGGGAATAAGAAAAATATTTTACACTGAATTTTTAAAAAGTCTCTTCACTGAATAGGGAAAGCAGCTGTAAATGTTCATATTAGAAAATAAAAAATGAGCAAGTTCCTTTAAAAATGTACATTTCCAAAATGGACCCAAGAAGGGACAGAAAACTTGAATAATTCTATAACCTTAAAAAAGTTAAACCCTACAAATAAAAGTCTAGGCCTGGATGTCTTCACTAGCAAATTCACTACCAAACATTTAGAAAAAAAAAATTCCAATTATGTAAACTATTCCAGAATGTTGAAAAGGGGGCAATACTTTCCAATGTATTTTATGAGACTAGCATTACTTTGATACCCAGACCTAACAAGGACATGAGAAAAGGAAATTACACATTAATCTTACTTATGAACATAGATGCCAAATGCAAACAAAATATGAATGAATCAAATATAATAACATAAAAAATGGATATTATAATCATAATTCAGTTTATCTTAGGAATATTAAGCTGGTTTATCATTAAAAATTCAATTAATATAATGCAGTAAATTACATTATACATTTTTCTTATTATCAGTGGTTCTAGTCAGTGCTAGGAAGTATAGAAACAGGGAAAAAATCACATTAATTGTAGTTAATGTAATTAGCCATGTGGAAAGTTTCAAAGAACCCTAAAATAAATAATTACAACTAGTAAGAAAGTTTATCAAGTTTGTTAGATACAAAAATCTATATGTAAACATCACTTGCACTTCTTAATACTAACAACAAAGTGTTCCAAAATGAGATTTTGAAAACACTATTTATAATAGCTCCAAAACCATGAATAGACATTTTTCAAAAGAAGACATACAAATAGCCAACAGGTATGCAACAAAATGTTCAACATCATTAATCATCAGAGAAATGCAAATCAAAACCATTATGAGATAGCATCTTACCCCAATCAGAATGGTTATTATTAAAAAGTCAAAATAACAGATGGTGAAGATATGAAGTAAAGGGAGCTACTGTTGCCAGGGATGTAAATTAGTGCAGCCACTATGGAAAACAGCATGGATATTTATCAAAGTACTAAAAATAGCACTACCATATGATCCAGCAATCCAACTACTGAGTATCTACCCAAAGGAAAAGAAGTCAATATATCAAAAAATACCTGCACTTGAATGTTTATCACAGCACTATTCACAATAGCAAAGAAATGGAATCAACCTAAGTGTCCATGATTGAATAAGAAAAATGATGACTGGATAAAGAAAATGTAGCATATTTTGCTTATTGGATTCTTTTTCGGCCTTAAAAGGCTTGAATTTTTTTTTTTTGCGGCACCTTGGTTGGACTTGGGGGCCTTTTTTTTTTTTTTTTTTTTTTTTCGGCTTTTTTTGGGGTTCCAATTTTTAGGTTTCGTTTTTTTGCCCATGCCCCCCTTCTCCCTAGACTCAGAGCTTTAAACATGACCATCTTCCAGGCGGTGGATTAATAAAATGTGGTATATGTATGCCATGGAGTACTATTCAGCTATAAGAAACAATGGTGATATAGCACCTCTTGTATATTCCTGGATAGAGCTGGAACCCATTCTACTAAGTGAAGTGTCCCAAGAATGGAGAAACAAGCACCACATGTACTCACCAGCAAATTGGTATTAACTGATCAACTCCTAAGTGGACATATAGGTATAACATTTATAAAGAAACATAGGGTTTCTTAAGGGAAGGGAAGGGAAGGGAAGAGGGGGTGGATGATGAGAAATTGCGAATGAGTGCAATGCATGTTATTTGGATGATAGATATCCTAAAAGCCCCAACTTCACCATTATGCAATCTGTGCATGTAACAAAATTACACTTGTATACTATAAATTTATTATACAAATAAAAAATTTAAAAATAGGAAAAGGCCAATTTCCCAGGAATAGTTGATTATCATTGACTCAAACTATGAAAACAAAATTTTTTGATCCACTTAAGATTTGCAAAGAAAATATTAATATTCTATAAGCTTACTTTATTCACAACTTTTACTTACTTAGTACAAGGGCAGAGGTTACAGAAATTGTAATTGCCCTGCTTTATTCACAATGTTTTCACAAATCTGTAAAAAGAAGATAATATATATATATAGTAATATATCTAACAAAAAATGTACAAGCCCTTCATAGAGAAAACAACAAAACATTATTTAAAAGATAAATAAATAAATGTAAAGCTTGGTTGTGGTATGAATTGGTTAACTCAATATTGTAAAGATGCCAATTTGCCTAAGATCTGTAAATTCCATGCAAAGCAAATCAAAATCTCAAGATTTAAAAAAAAATTCCCTTTTGTATGTATGTGGGGATATTTGTAATCAGACAAGCTGGGCTTACAATACATGTGGAAGTAGTGAGGATAATGTGGAAGAAGAATTGGGCTGGGCCTAGAGGAATTCACCTAAGCAGATTTCAAGAATTATTATATAGTACATCAATTAAAACTATGGAATGTGAGTCAGGGATGGAGGAGAATAGAGAGCACACATGTGTGTTATGGCAGAGAAGTACTGCGGAACAGTAAAGAAAGGATGGACTTTTAAAAAGTGGTACTGGAACAACTAGTATTTATAAAGAAAACAAATCAAATTGGGTTTCTACAACACAGCTTATATAAAAATCAATTCTTAGGTGAATGAGGGACTTGAAGGAAAAAGCTAACACTAACATTTTTAGAAAAAACAAATAGGAGTTAGATAGGAAACCATTTTTAAAATAAGACTTAAAAGCTCAAACCATAAAGTAAAAGATTGGTAAATGTCAACTGTATTAAATTAAGTACTTCTGTATATTGAAGTACATCATAAGGACAGTAAAAGGACAAGCCACCAACTGGGAGAAGATATTTATAGCAAATACAACTGATAAAACTTTGATATTCAGAATACATAAAGACATTCCACAAATACAAAAAAGAAAAGTGGCCAAAGCTTGAACAGACATATTACAAAAGAGAAAATGTATCAATAAATGTGAAAATATCGACTTTATTAGTATTAAGAAAAATGTGTATTAAAACTATAATGCAATAATATTTCACGCCTACCAGAAAAGCAAAAATTAAACATTCAGGAAATAACAAGAATCAATGATAACGTATATAATATTCTAAATGATGTAAAATACTTATACACCACTAGTGGAAGTTGAAATTGGTGCAGCCACTTTGAAAAATAATTTGGCATTTCCTAATAAACGTGAAGATTTACAAGCCTCATAATTCTACATCTTCTCTCCAAGACAAAATCTTGTACACATGTACCAGAAAACCCATGCAAGGATATTCATAGCACCACTGCTCAGTGATAGCAAAAATCTAGAAACAATCCAAATGTCCATCAATTGTAGAACAAAATTTAAATGTGTGGCATGTTTATTCAATACAATTTTATGCACAATGAAACAAGAACTACAGATACATGCAAACACATGAGAGAATCCTGGCATAATATTGATTTTTAAAAATTGCAGAAGATCATCTGATTTCATTCATATAAAGTTAAAATATAGGTAAAACTGAACAACATGCTTTATAGAGAAATAAATATAAAAGGTAATATCTTAAAGGGAAGAAATGTGATGATTGACACAAAAATCAGGATAACAATTTTCTCTGAAGGAGGAAGAATCTATAGAGGATTTCAAATGTAATGATAAACTATTTTTATTAAATCAGGTAGGTGGTATCATTCTTCATTTTATCTTATACATGTTTTATGTATCGATTTTATATCTTTAATTTTGAAAATACTTTCAAATATTATTTACTCTCTAAAACAATGAATTTCTAGTGGGGAATTTCGAGCCTTTGAAGCATTTGGGAGAGAGATTGAAGAGGGATTCGGGGAGCCCCTCTGCTCCCCTCCTCTGTCTCTGGGTATGAGGAATCACTGCCTGGCCAGAGACAGTCTCTCTGACTCCCCTATTCTCTCACCTCTCTTTAAGGACCTGGAGTTCAAACTCCCAACTTTCCTACTGCTATTTGCGAGATTCTCTTCAAGGCCATAATAGCCCTTTTCATCCAAGCCTTTCTATATGAATAGGATTGACGCACACAAATGTCTGTCAAGAGTTTACAAAAAACCCTCAGGGGCAGTGCCATCCAGTCTCGGTTGAATTTGCCCTGACCTCACCCACTGGCCCACAGCTCTCCTGGTTACTCAAACTCCTGCATCTTGGCCCAGCTCCTTGACTCCTGCTGTATGCCCAGCTGTTGTGACGGGAGGCCTGGCCTGGCCAGGTGTTTTCAACTTCATCTTCAGGACTCTCTACAAAGCCTGTTTTCCAATATCCATTCTCAAGCCTCATGCTCCATGATCGTCACTGACACACACTCTTGGGATGAAGAGTCTGGCTCTCTTGGGCGCCCACCTCCCCTTCCCAAATACTTGGGGGGGGGGGGAGAAGGTCAGGGAAGAACGGTTGCTTTGAATTCATCATAATATTGTGATTTCATATTAGTCTGAGTCTCGTCCCTATGTCACTGGCCCCCATTCAAGCCCTGTTGACATTAGCAAGCTGAATACTCTCACTGGGATGTTCCAAACAATGGAAAAACTCTTCAGAGAAACTGATGACTGTTTTACTTTTGGCCTGAGCTGGGGGTAGAGTGGGCATTCCAGAGAACCCATCCAAGACACCACCTGATCTGATCCTTTTACTCTCTGAGTTCAAAATGTTCTTCAAAATGTTCCTCGCAGAGGGACCTTGCATTTTATAGACTGCTGCCCAAGGAACTTGTTGCTACAACAAGAACTCCCAAACCATGGAAACTGTTTGTGTCCGCCAAACCCAAAGCTGAACTATATACACAGCCTAAAAATCAAGTTGCCTTAATCTTGCATTTTTGGCTCATTTTTTCTAGCCACATCCTAAAACAAAATGGGTTGAATTACTAGATGAAAAATAAATTCCATCCATGGGAACTGTTGCTATTGTCACACAAAACAAAGGGAAGGTGTTTTTCTGCCATGCCGTGGAAGAGGTGAAGTCACTGTTTTAGAATAAAATGATCAGACTTAAATTTCTACCACATGCAGTAAACAGAATTGGTTACTTAATTAGACTGCCTACTAAAAGGTCTCTTATTATTTTAAATTGTGCTTTAACATAATAATTCCAGTAAAACATTTCTGGAAAAAAATTTGAAAATGTGTATTTGGTCTTTAAAATGTGTATAATTTTTCCCAGTAGTTCCAATTATGGGAATAATTATGAAAGTGCCCAAAGAATTATCTGCATAGATATTTAATGCTGCATTACTTTTAACAATGAGGGGAGTGGAAACTGTTTAGGTGTCCAACTTAGGTAATTGGTTAAATAAATTACTGCGTAGTAGAAATGTTCTTTAAAACCTAAATAGCCCTCTGGATTTAGCACAGCTCTCCATTCTTTACGTACTGCTGTCTAATATCCCAGCATCTGAGTGTTCCCAGCCTGGGGCTTTCTTTAGTTAACCCACACGCTTATACCCCCACTACTGAGTTGTTTGCTCACCAAGACTCAGTTTTGTTTGTTCCCAAACCTGTTTATGCTGCTATAGTTTTTTATTGCAGTTATGTAATTTAATTAAATAAGTACACAATGAAATTATAAAAGAGATTTTTATTTCTCCAAAAATTAGATTGAGGTCAGGCGCAGTGGTTCACACCTATAATCCTAGCACTCTAGGAGGCCAAGGCGGGAGGATCGCTTGAGCTCAGGAGTTCAAGACCAGCCTGAGCAAGAGTGGGACTCTGTCTCTACTAAAAATAGAAAGAATTGGCCAGGTGGGGTGGCATGCACCTGTCCTATAGTCCCAGCTACTCAGAAGGCTGAGGCAGGAGGATTATTTGAGCCCAGGAGTTTGAGGTTGCTGTGAGCTAGGTTGATGCCATGACACTGTAGCCCAGGCAACAGAGCAAGACTCTGTCTCAAAAAAAAAAAAAAAAAAGAAATTAGATTGAAAATTTTCAGAAGACTGGATAGGCCGGGCACGGTGGCTCACGCCTATAATCCTAGCACTCTGGGGGGCTGAGGTAGGCGGATTGCTCGAAATCAGGAGTTCGAAACCAGCCTGAGCAAGAGCGAGACCCCCCATCTCTACTATAAATAGAAACAAATTAATTGGCCAACTAATATATATAGAAAAAATTAGCCGGGCATGGTGGCAAATGCCTGTAGTCCCAGCTACTCGGGAGGCTGAGGCAGCAGGATTGCTTGAGCCCAGGACTTTGAGGTTGGAGAAAAACACTAAAAGGACATACTCTAAAATGTCATCAGTGGTTATCTGTGAGTGAGCTTTATGGGAATCTGTGGCTTGGCTATAGGATATCATGTAGAACATACATCACACTTTACAGAGAGACAGAGGGAGGTAAACAAAACAGAGAAGTTGGTAAGACAAGAGATGCAAAGAAACTATGATCAGCTTTCTGCATCCATTTTCATTTCCTAGTAACTAGTTCCAGTATTTCTCTGAGGCCTGGCTATGGCTATTCCTGGCTATGGCTCTCCAAGATGTCTATATTATTAATGCCTCATTTTTGTTTAAGCTAGGTTTCTTAAGCTCAGTTTTTGTTACAGCAACAAAACATTGAACACAAGCAATTAATAAATGAAATCACTATAAAAAGCAAATGAGAGCACACACTCACCTAAAATTGGGGTTATCTTGATGCACATCTGCGTACAAATGTCTCTGAGATTTTGTTAAGTGCATTGGAAGCCAGGTGCCACCAAAGCTGTGTTATGAATAACTGGAAAGTTCCATTCCCACTTGGTTATTCATGTGGAGTGTGACAAGGAATAAACCAAAGAAGGTAGGAAAGCCTATATCAGGGTCTGGAAGAGCCAGCAAGGATGTCCCCAGCAACATGAGACCTGGACCTGGCCCTTGTCAAGCTGGACCAGGACACTGACTGAGGCTCTGGCTCCTTGCTTGGGACCAACATTCATTCTCATTACAGGGAACAGGCATGTTGCCCTGTGCCTATGGTTGGGGTTCACTGTGATCAGCATCAGTTGGACCTAACTAACCCAACATTTAAACTTCACTAAGGACATAATATGCCAATTGAACTCAATAATTTTCTTGAAAGTTGCCCTTGGGTCTCCTCCACCAGAATAACCTGGTGATCTTCTTTAAATACTGATTCTTGGACCCCACTATAGGCCTACGAAATCACCTCTCCAGGTAGAGGCTCAACAACCTGGATTTTTCCAAGCACTTTAGGGGACTTTCGCATATGCTAGTGTCTGAGATCCACTGTCAAACCACCGTGCAAGCGTGAGGAAAATGCTGCTTCACGTCCTCTGAGTTATGATGTCATACATCATTGAGCCAAGTTCTGCTCCTGGCTCTGGCTTCAATCTGCTCTGTGGTCTTGGGCAGATGGCTTAATCCCTCTGGACTTCCGTCTCCTCATCTGTAACCTGGAGGGGAATAGAGAACAGATCATCCCTAAAATCCCCTCTAGCACTGAATTCAATTTCTATGTTGTGGATGATCCCTTTTTTTTAAAATCTGAAATTGCCTACAGTCATATCAGACTTACAGTAGATACTAAATAATTGTGAGTTGGTTGCAAACAAGCATGCATGAATGTATTTAGTTAGTACACAGGAGACTTCGAAATCATAATCAGTTCACAATATATATGCAGAATCAGAGTTTCTATTCTCTGTACTAAAATGGCAGAATTAGAATGAATTAGAAATCCTTCTAATTCATCATAAATCCATAGATCGTTGGGACAAGAAGAGATTTGTCAATTTTCTACCAGAGGATGTGAGGAGAGATATAGCAATGACATTAGGGCTTTTTCAGGTTGCCCTGTATGCGAGTTTAAGCCCCTCCCACCCTGCATGTATGTCCTTGTTTGGAAACCACTTCCTTGGTGAGCCATTATGATGGGGGCGGAGGGCTGCTCTGATTTATTCTCCAGGTATGATTCCAGTCCAACTTTGATAGTGTAAGGGGAAGAAATTGATATCTAGAGAAACAAATGACCAGTCCAAGGCCACCCCTCCCGCTGGGGGTGGAGCAGGAATCCCAGAATCCCGTCCTTACACCCTGCGGAGGGCCCTTCCTACTGCACCATCAAAAACCTATTTCTGGGAACACCAGACTTTTCCTAGGGACTCAGGGCCTTCCAGGATTGGAGATTTTGTTTTAGAACTTCTTTTGTTCTCTGGGGTGAACAATGTCCAAGGAGGGGGCTTCTCGACGTGTTACTTCCCGGGGATGTAGAGAGGAATTTGTGACATTCACCAGCCTGGGTTATCTTCTAAGCCTCTTGAAACAACTATGTAGGGAAAAGGCTCCTTATGTTACTTCATCCAGTTAGCTCCCTCCACACATGTTGTTTTATGCAGAGAGAGGTGGGATTCCAACTCTGTCCACAAAATACTAATTAGGGCTAATAAAAGTTGTGGCACACCTGTGGCACACAGACCTTGCACGTGGGCCTGCAGAGCTGTGTTCTTAGCAGGAGAATGCCCCCCAACTTGCTCTCTTAATGGGGGTTAAACATTGCCCCTTTGTAGGTGACCCTAATCCCAGGCTATAGCCTAATCTTTCCCCAGAGCTCCATGTCTACCTAAAAGAACAATCTGTTTGTGCAAAACTGACCTCATCCTTGCTTCCTCAAGCTTATACTAAACCCTGTGTTTCTTCTTTCTTTTTTCCTTTTTTTTTGAAACAGAGTCTTGCTTCGTTGCCCAAGTAGAGGGCAGTTGCATGATCATAACTCACTGCAACCTCAAACTCTTGGGCTCAAGCAATCCTCATGCCTCAGCCTCCCAAGTAGCTGGGACTACAGGCACACGCCACCACGCCTGGCTAATTTTTCTATTTTTTGTATAGACAGGGTCTCACTCTTGCTCAGGCTGGTCTCAAATTCCTGAGCTCAAGCAATCCTCCCACCTTGCCCTGCCCCCAGAGTGCTAGGATTACAGGTGTGAGCCATTGAACCTGCCTGTTTCTTATTTCTATTAAAGGTACTCCCATTTTATTCATCAGAGAGATTTGAAACCTTATAGCTAGCTTCAAGGGCTTCCTCTCCCTTCAATCAAGTATCAATAACAACAATAATAACAACAGGAATAGCAACAATCCTCCTCCGAGGCTATGTTGAGCACCTGCTCTGTGCACAAGTAGGGCTCGGGGCTTCACGTACCTTCCCTCACAACAGTTCCCTGAGGTAAGCGCCATTATCCCCATTTTTACCTCAGAGAAGTGAAGAAGCTGCCCCCACGGTTTTCCTACTCTGCTGCCACCCTCCCATCTCTAACTTCTCTCAGGCCCCCGTGTCACTGTCCATGTTCCACCACCTGCACCAGCTCTTGGCCTTTCTGTTTTCATCCACCCTGATCGCAGCAGCCAGAGTTATCTTTTTAAAGGACCGCTTTATCATGTGGCTTCCCTGCGCCAACACCCCAATAGCCTGTGTTTCCTCTCCAGGACAGTGGACGTTTCTCATGTGGGCATTAAAGGCTTTCCACAATGTGGGCCCAAAGGCCCTTCTAAGTTTGATCTCAACGTTACTCTGGCCCATGCACCCAGAGTTTCAGCCACGCCGCCCTGCGCTCGCAACAGACCCTCCTGACTTGGGGTCACAGCTTTCTCTGTTCTCTTCCTCATACCCACCATCTCTACATGACCAAGTCCTTTCTTTCTGGACAACCCAGCTAAAGTGCCACCTCCTCCAGGCAGTCTTCCTCAGCTCCTTGGCCAGCAATGATGGCTCCCTCTGCTGACCTCCATCAGCCTTTTATTTAAAGCCCTTTATTGTCATCTGTCTCTTTTACCTCTTGGAATTTTGTGTGTATGTCTCATTTCTCTATTTAGACCATGGCATCACTGAAGCAAGGATTGAGTTTTCTGTTTTATCTCCCGTGGTGCTTCACTCAGCCCCTACCTGTGGGACAACATTGCCTTAGTATCTTGGCTCTACCATTTACCTGCTGTGTGACCTCAGGCAGGTTGCTCAACCTTTCTGTGCCTGTTACTTTACAAATTAAATAATAATTCTATGTATCTTGATCTATAGGAATTAAACTATGTCACACAACTAAATGAGTTAAGAATATAAAATACTTAGAATAGTGCCTGGCACATGATAAGCATTCATTAAATGCTTGTTACTATTAGTCATATCTGTACTAGCACATAAAATACAGAGACATCTGTTTTGTATATTTCATATAAGCTGGCTTCTGCAGATGACTAAACTCTGGTTACTGATTACAGTGGTAAAAAAGATAAATAATAAAATAGATGTTCATTTATGCCTTTATTCTAAAATGTTACTTATTTATTTTATCAAAATAAAGCACTTGTTAGATATATCATTATTATCTGAAACTAGTATAAAATGTTTCCATGTTGCAAACCTTTGTGAAATCTGTTCAATTTACTAATGGTCTGTAATAAAGGAATAATTGCTTCCTGAATAACTTTTGGGTCAAGAAGAAATTAAAAAGGAAACTAAAAAATATCTTGAGGAAAACAAAAATGGAAAAATACACAAAAACTTATGGGATGCAGCAAAAGTAGTTCTA